AAACTACTCAAACTCAACCTAATTTGACGAAAATCTCAGAAATTGTCCTTAGAGATATTAGGGAAATTTAGAGTGTAGTTTGAATTACGTTCAAAATATACCGAGTGCTATATCGGATATCCAATCCGACACAGGAGGATTGCCCATGTCGGTCGAATTACTAGTATCTCTCAAAGTAAGGTACCCTGACTCCTAAGTGCAAGTGAATATAATATATTTGTTTATTTTTTTCCTGCTAAAAAGTCGAGCTATTCAGCTGGTTTAATTATAATAACAATTACGTATACATGAATGAACAATAACATATTATTATTATTGAACTGTTCTATCATGAATCGGAATTTTGAAAATAAAATGTAATATTGACGTTGCTGTATCTATGTGATAAACATACTATTAAATTCCTTTTGAAACAATAAAACTTCGTCGAATATGAGTTAAATAGTTACCTAAGTATATTATAGAATATATCGTATAGATAATATTGACACGTCTTGTTGAATGCGGTCCACAGCAGACTATAATATTGGAGTTTCTGATAATAGACAGTAGCTAGCCGTACTATAAAGATACGCACGTGGGATATATTGCACTGTAGGTTTTTAACATACGTTTACTCGTCACTATTACAGCGTACTATTGTGTAAAACATAAATCATATCATAATACAACAAAAAACAATTTGAAGTATAGTGTAGAACTTTAATTCGAATCGTTGTAGGTCCTCGACCACACTAATTGTACGCAACGAAGAAAATAATATTTCAACCGAGAAACCGAAAGATATATTATGCCAGGGGTTGATAAGGCCACCCCGATATATATAAGTGTATTGTGTGTAGTACGTAAATATTTCGAAACACAACGACGAATACAATAACTATGTGAGTAGTCTTAGAGTGTACATAAGGGTGATCTGTAGTGATAAAGTACGCGTGTGAATAGGTCTATCGTCACGTTCTTATGATTAGAAATAGATAAGTAAGAGACTATCGAAATATATATATAATAATATCCAACTTTATCACATAAAGGATGATTCACCGATATTATGCTCACCCCTATTTTTGCATTAATTATACAAATTCTCATTTTTAGTATTATTTAGTATACACCTATATCTAGGAACCTACTGAAACCAAAAAACCATAGAAAACCATCTAATTCACCATTATCACCGTAAATACAATTTTGCAAATCATGCGTCGTGGATATAAAATAAAAATCAATAGTAAAATGCAATCTGATTTCATGAATTATCTGGATTTAATGGTCGTTAAAAAAACATCTCTCATCATAAAATATGTCAACAATAAAATCGTGCAAAATGCAAACAATTGTAAATCAAATATTATTTATTGTTTTACATCAATCGATATAATATGGACAATTAAACCTAAAGAGCGTAATTAGCACAACCGATATAATTATATATATATATACTAAAACCCACCATCTTATAATTATTTGTAATAAATTGTATTTCCGTCTAAAGCCTAAATAAATGGGACAAGTCACGTCAAGACATCTGCAGTAGGAATAGATATTATATAGTCTGATTGAACGGCATATTGAAGTGTATGGGCATTCCACATGGATTATGCACCGTCCACAGCTCGGCATTTTTGTTTAGTATTTCGGCATTTGATTTCCAATAGCACATATATCCAATAGTGATTATATGATTGAAAGTAAACATAAATCTAAAAATAGTAAAATTACATTGTCATAAAAAAAATATCTAGATTATATATTTTCTTTACTGACGAAAAAACTCCATTTAAAAAAATATCTCTATATGAATAAAATGTAAAATTAAAAAAAAAAAAATAGGTAGGTAGTTTATTTGAGTAAATAAAGGCAGTGATTGAGCTATAGATAAATATATATAAACAGAGAGTGGGCAAGTGGATACTGGTCTGCTGAACAGTAGGTGTTGAGGGAGTCACTGTGGTGGATATGTTCAATTTGAATTCAATTATATATCACGGCACAAGAAAAAATTATTCTGATAAGCCTAGAATGTTTTAAATTGTATTAATATTTCTATTACAGTATAGGTGGAATTCAATTTCGCAATAAACATTATATATTTCTACATACATATTATTCTAAAATTACTAGTAATTTTTTTGGTTACAGTATAAAATACTCATGAGGGACCATTATGTATTAAATGTAAAGATTTAGATATAGACATTTAACATTGAAACATTTTAAACTATAAAATAATTCGTAAACTTTAGTGGTATAAAATGCTTATAGAAAAAATCGTGATTAAAGTCATATAATATGTATCTTTAATACATTTTAAATAGCTATAATAAAACTTATGAGAATCCTGTATTACATTTTTAAGCTTTTTGCTAAACGAATAATTTTTTACCTATCTTCATTTATAGAAAAAATTGAAATGTCATATAAACTATAAATAGCTCAAAAAGTGTCAAAATATTTATCATATACATAAAATGTAAGTTAATTATAATGTATATAGAAAATCAATAATAAACCAACCTTAATTATTTCGGTTTTATCGACGTCGTCGTAGGTATCGTCGATATATGACAAGAAGGGTATTTGAAAAGTTCGACTTCGTTCAGTACTGTTATCACTTCCTATACATACGTAAATTCAAATGTTGTTTGATTTCACATGGTCAATTGGTAAATTATCTTCTATAAGTAATACACTACTATAATGCATTATTTTTACTTTTTTAGAACTATGACATTTTTCGATTAATGTTTTGTTTTTTTCAGCCAATTTTTTGGCTTTTGTAGCATTGTATTTATTAGATAATAAATCGTCTATCATCAAGGTTTTGCAAAAGAACTTGTAGTATTCGTCTTCCTTTTCTCTTTCTAATCTCTACAAATTAGTTTAACTTATTATTTATTTACTAATGTAGCAGCTGAAAGTAACAATGTAATTAAAAAATAATTTATGTATACAGTGGATAAATGATATAATACTTTTGAAAACAGCGTAGTTTTCTTGTGGATATCCTTCTCATTAGCGATTTTCATTTGTTGTTCAATGAACTCAGTTTTGTCATATTTTTCAGCTATCAATAAAAAAATTAAGATACATAAATCATTTTCTCCTTATTAGAGGAAGGACTGATAAAACGGGGTAGTCTAAAGCGGTTTTTTAAGTTTTTTTTTTAAAAAAAAGTCAATACAGATACGAATTTAAATCTATGTACTTATTTAAAATTTCAGCTCACCCTCTAGTCTTTGGATTTCGTCAAATTGAATATTAATCTTTGATACCATTTTTCTGTTACCATATAGCTTATATATGAATTCGTCTTTGTATTCTTTTATAGTTTTCTCAATTTTATTAATTTCACTCAATAACTTTTTTTTAATTATAACTATAAAATGTAGTAAATATTAATTATTGCATAATTTTGTTATTAATAATGCTTTGGTTAACTTTGTTTTTGTAATTTCGCATTTAGTCTATTACGACTAATTTTTAACTCCATAATTTCAATTTTCTTTTTATCAATAATTTTTGAAATTGTTAGTGACCTTACCTCTAAACTTTTTATTGAGTTCACGATTTCGGTTAATGACATTTCATCTGCAATATTGACTAATGTTTTTAATACATCTAAGAAAATTAAATATAGTTATATAGGTATATAAGTATATAACATACAGCATTATAATATGAAGCCCCAAGAAGTTTTATCACTGAAAATCCTTTGCTGATATGCTTTGCTTGTTCATATTTGTAAATAGTATTAATATTTGATACCTAAAATATTAAAATGTAAAAAAAATATCAAAAAATTATCACAATATAAATTATTATTATTTTAGATTGAATAACGAATGGTGTCATCAGAGAGTGTTTATCGGACCAAATTAAACGAAGGCATATTGAATGTAAACATATGCCTAGCAACAAGAAATAATTTGAACAACTTCAGGGTGTCCACGCAATAAAATTAATTTAATCAATATTTTTTACAAATATTATTATAACCACAACAACTAACCAAGTATCTACTTATATTATTATTTTATACGTTATTATATACTATATAGCTGTATAGCAGTATAACACTATATTATAGTGACTATAACCTGACTTACTATAGGAAAAAAAATGAACAAATATAAAATACATCACTGTGTGTGTATATATTTATATGAATATATCATCTATGATGTATTATATAGGTTGTAGGCAGCAAATACTATAGATAACCCATAGTATTTGATTATAGTATAGTATAATATGATCATTATGAATTATGATCTAGATAAGATAAGATTAATACCAATTATCAAATATTGTAATATTATATAAATATATTATATAAGATATAAATATTATTTATATATCTATAATCTATTACAATTATAGCATTGGTTATAGATATAGTATTATTTAAGTACGTAATAAACATAATATATCTAAGTCCTAAATAAACTATATAAAGTATTATAAACAATGATTATAGTACAATACGACATTACATACTACATAATTAATAATTATTATTATAATAACCAATAAGTGGCTATGCCTTATAAGTTATAAATTATAATTATTAATTTATACATAAACAAGTAACAACTCAGAAACCAGTCAGTAATTCCCATTGTCACTGCGTGTTAGTCTGTTCAACTACGGCAACACCTTACAAACTTTGCCTTTATTGCGGTTATTCAACAATCAACAAATTAGCTAAGTAACTTCTGCTTAAAAATACCCATCCATCTATTGGACTTAACGTTTATACTCGTGAGTAGAAACGTTTCTTCCAGATATTTGATTATTACGATAATAGACAAGAGTAGAAGAGCGGTAATGTATATAATATGCACCTATAAATATGAATATTTTGTAAATGCTATTTTTACAATAAATTAACTATAACATCATTACTAATGTGTTGAAACAATAAGGTTTTTTTTAATAAATAGTGAAATGTATTGCTTAGTGTACACTACGTTGAAATTAGGTCATCAGTCATCACCATGCTTACTACAATGTCAAGACCCAAAGTGTTAGTTGCAATGAAACTCGTTCCAGGGATCGCAATTGATTTACTTCGTAAAAGGTTGGAACCTATACCTATTCTGCCTCAAAGTGTACGCTTAACAATTTGTTCTTAAGTATTTATATATTTCAGATTTGATGTCGAAGTATGTGATTCCACACCAGTCACTCGGGCAGAAATTATGAAAAAAGTACCGGGGAAATTTGCAATATTTTGTAGTGCACTTAACAAAATTGATGAAGAATTGATTAAAACTGCGGGTTAATAAACTCATTAAAACTAGATAAATAATAATAATGATATTGTAGGTATAAGTGATGTAGGTAGTTAATCATTTTTCATTTTTCATTTTATAGGCCCCAGTCTAAAGGTTGTTGGAACCATATCTGTGGGATATGATCACGTCGACTTGACTGCAATGAAAAAATATGGCGTACGTTTGGGAAACACGCCACATGTCTTAAGCGAAGCAGTAGCAGAAACAACAGTTGGATTGCTGATAGCGACAACGAGACGGTTTTTCGAAGCAAATCATGCATTGAAAACGTACTTACATTAAATTATAATACAGTTTGGTTTAAGTATTGAATAATGTTTTTTAGAGGTGGATGGAAAAATGTGACTACGGTTGTTTGGATGAATTGGATGTGTGGTAGAGGTATTAGAAACTCTGTTGTTGGTATTGTTGGATGTGGCAACATTGGGACATCAATAGCAAGGAAGCTGAAGACATTTGACATTTCTCAATTGCTGTACACCAGTAGAACTGAAAAACCTGCTGGTAAAATGTTATATTTCAGTTATAAGTGTATACTGAATACTATTCTACGATTATAAGAACAATAATAACTTTTAATTCGTGATCAATCACAATTAGTCAAAGCTCTCGGTGGAAAACTGGTTACAATCGATGAGCTGGTCGAACAAAGTGATTTCATAATCCTTTCCATTGCACTGAATGAGGACACAAAGTTTATCATTAACAGAGAACGCATTGCCAAGATGAAGTCACACGCCGTATTGGTGAACATTGGTCGTGGAGGTATAAGGCACATTTTGAACATGCACGTCATAACTTTAGGTCAATCTTATGTTTATATTCGAATTTTCAGGACTTATTGACCAAGATGCACTCATCGAAGCATTACAAGAAAATAGAATTGGAGGTGCTGGCCTAGACGTAATGACACCAGAACCATTACCACTTGATAGCCCTTTGATGAAGATGGACAATGTTGGTAGGTACAACAAAATATATTATTTCGTCACATGAATGTTTATTAACGGCATTAAATTAATGTTATATTATTTTTGGACTCGTAGTTTTGTTGCCACACATTGGGAGTGCTTCCATTGAAACAAGAACAGAAATGGCTATTCTCACTGCCAAAAATATAATTGCTGTTTTAGATAATGCCGCAATGCCAAACGAAGTTCAGTATTAGCTTTGGTAATTATGTACGCTAGACAAAATTGTATTAAAAATAATCTATTTTTCGAATGTTGCAAAGTGTAAAATTATAATATTTGTTAATGCATTTATTGATTTAAAATTGTTGAATATAGTATTTTCTTTAATATTTCAAATGTCTTTCATTATAAAAATCATTATTTTCGTTATTTTATTAGGTAGCCAATTATAGTATCTTGTCTGGTCTTGATATTTGTATTGTATGTATCTCGTTAATATATATATTAAATATTGCAATAATTTATTTCATACTGATCGGCTAAGCAGGGTTCAGCAATTTATTTATTTAGTATACACTATAATATAATGTTCTATACAGTAATGAGTAAAGTAGATATAACTCTTGCAGGTGGCTTGGTTTAATATTCAAATCATTTAATATATTAAAAATAAATATAAAATATAATTTAAACTTAAATAGACATTTCATCCCCAGCGTGACTCCAAAAGGAGTTGAACAATCACAATTTTTTTCCCTTTAGGTAATTCAGCTAGTATATTATAAACAAAATATTATTCGATTTATTGAACAAAAACGAAATTCACACGCGAGTCATCCTATAGCAACCTATAGTCAACCTATACATAATGGTTAAAAAACGAAGATATAAACACTAACCGAGTCTCAAGAACATGTGTGCGAAATCTGGTCCTAATTGGTTCTGTAGTTTCCAAGTCTATATAAGCCTCATCCAAATGTACATTTATTTATATAGAAATACATATAGAAATAATATTTTCAATATTGTATGTAATGTAATACTATTTCCATTTAAAATTAAATTAAATTAAATTAAATGTATTATATACATATTCGTTATTATATAGTTTATTACTCTTATTTCATTTAATTGGTTTTATTTATTTTAACAATAATTATTAAATATATTACCTACTTAGATTACCCAAACCGGTAGATTTAGATAATCAATCCGTGAACAATGTTGATCAATGTAAAATCCAGTAGGTATACATATCAAATTTAGTTTATTGTCTTTCAAAGATATATTTTTTGTGTATTCAACACGAAGACAACGTGTAGCCAATTTTACATTGATTATCAGTTTTTATCTTCATCAGTTTTGAACATATATAATAAACTAATAAAGATTTGAGATATATTTTACTGAATGAGTTTACAGTTTTTGAAAATCATTTATCTGTTTTTGCTTTTAGAAGAAAAAGTTACTATTGAGTGTGGTTGTTGTTGTTTTTTTTTGTTTGGCCGTACGTACATTTATTCATACACAGGCACACCTTTCATTATATTATTGTAACTTATAATGTTCTATTATATTCGTATTATATTATTATCGTGACATACCTACTAGGGGTGCGTCCGTCAAAAAAAAAAAACTGTCAATTTTCTTTTCATGCTTATAATAATGTATCATGCACTTTTCCGAAACTCGAAAAGAATCGCTTTTAAAGGTAGGATTACTGCTGAATGCACGTAGGTACCATACCGGAAATACGTGCCATCTTATATTATATTAATGATGGTCCATGTGCAAAACTAAAAACATCTCACAGAGTTGGTTTAGTGTGGCCTGTGGGTATATTCGCTGTGACAAAAAACCCAAATAATAATATTATACATTCTGAATACAATATAAGGGTGTGTGTGTTTTGTACTTTAGTGTCCATCACCACTTTAAAGAGCATATAACTAAATTTATAAGCATTGAGAGTAGTTTCTAGAAGCAATCATCTGATCTATACATAGTTGTACCTTCTTGATAATTACAAAAATCTTACAAGAAACAGTGGAAAACCTTGAATATTTGAACAAAATCAGTCGTTTTATTGTACTTCATTCAGAAAGAAATATATATGCATAGGATAATTTGACACTTTGTAAGTTATCTTAAATTAACTTAATAAGTGAATATTTAATATTTATAGGTGCTTAAAATTTAATTTTTTTGTTTCTCGATTAAAAAGCTTAAAATACTAAACACAAATAGTTTCTCATAAGTCATAACTAATTATTCTTAAAAAAATTGAGTACGTAAAAATATAAGCACCATAAAATTGGCTAAAATCACGAATATTGGCAAACTATTTTATTGTCAAAAATTCATAAGTTCAATTTTAAAATACCTACCTGAAAAAGCTTAAAATGTAATGCAACTTTCCTAGTAAGTTACTTTTATATTAATTTTAAAATATCAAAAATACTTGCACACAATTTTTTCATGATGATTTTCATATTATTTCAGAAGTTACGGATATATTTAAACGAAAAATTAACGATTTTTTATTCGAAATTTATTGTTTTTATAGTTTTTTTTTTTTTATTCATGGTACAGCTTCAACTCCTAAGGTTATTAGCTTTCAACAAAAAATGAGGTATTTAGTTTTTTTATTTATAGTTATTTTACTGTAGTTCAAAAAGCATAAATGGTAGATCTATGATTTTTTTATTATTTAGTATACAGTATTATTATTATTTAAACACAATGAAATTTAAAAAATATTTAGACAAATTTTAAGTTATTGATATAAGTACCCCGAACCTATTTATGGCACTCTACAGTCATACCTTCACTCAAGATCGTTTTTTTCGTATTTTACACTAACTTGTCATTATGAATTCAAATTGAACACATCTATTAGGTAGGTACGAGGTACCTATCTATTATTGTGAAGGACTCCTCAACTAGGTAACTGAAATGTTACTTATTGACTATTGTGACTATAGTTGAACGACAAAGTACACTCAAAACCTATATCTACTACACAGAGAGTTTTCCGTTCTTTTCTCACAATATTCGTTTTATTCTTTCTGAAAAGTAGATAATATAAGAAATGCAAACAATAATTATCTAATTTGTTGGTCTATTTTTTGACGATTGACGATTGTAAATAGATATTTAACAGAGTGTATACCTACAACAGTTTAATCTGGTGCGATGTTGTCACATGGAAATATATTATTTACGTATATTATGAGTATAATGCATCGTTTTCTTCATATTTACATTCTGTAAATAGTAAGTAGTATAATATTATATAATAGTTAACGCAAACGCCAAACATAATATACTTATAATATTCTTATCTACCAAAACGTTTAATTTTAACAAATCGTACATATCTTACATACTCGTACACATCGTAACGATACAATACATACACCACTATTAATAGTAGAAGTACTATATAATTAGGTACTATATGCATACACACATTGTCACATTGACAATCCGTATAGTTGGATATATAAAATTGAGTGTCGACTAAAACCCGTAGAATTATAAATATTGTAATTAGAATGTATTTGCTTATTAAAAAGTCTTGACGAGTAATAGTCACAAAATTTAACGTTGTAAATTGTACAAGAATTGTCGTGTCTGCATCTATACCGCTGCGATCGGTAGGCTCAAACATTATCAAAATTAAATATTATATATTTCTAGCTGATCCCGTACACTTTGTTGCCCTTAAAAAGTGGCGACTCTTAAAAAATATGATTGTTCAACTGCTTTTGGGTGTAACTCGAATACTCGATGCAGTAAGTGCATCTCAGCCACCCTGGTAGGCAAACCGACTACGTCGTATCACGGAAAGAGTGCAACTTATCAACCTTGGTATAGGCAATGTTCGAAAATTCGATTTGATGCAAGCTTGTACAGTTGTACCTGGTATTAATAATGTATGGACCCGGTAACCGAATAACCTGATCTGCCCAAATAACCAAAGGCAACCAATAATAAATAAATCCTAATTTCTAAATATTAAAATCCCCGTTTGAGCACCTCCCCGGGTGATGGTAGGAGGGTGAAAAATACTTTACGACCTGTTCTCATAGTATGAGACTCATATCAACCAAATATAAAAAAAAATGTCATTAAAATTGATCGAGCCGTTACGGAGGAGTTCGTACACTGAAACCGTTAAAAGATTTTTATATAATAGATAGGTATAAATATTATCCACCCACCACAGCCTATAATAATACAACAACCAAGAGTCTAGATTATGTTATTCAGTTCACACCTATTTTTCTTTTAATATTATTATTATTGTTTATTTCTTTGAAAAGATAACGGGCCCCACTGAACAGGTACGTGGGGGGTATAATATAATACATATATTCTAATTATGATTTTTAGATTTTGAGTATAAGGCAAGTAATATGCAGCCACTCTAGGGCCATATTTTCAAATACTTCAAGTTTGTATACTAGTCAAAGAGAGTTGTGCGGCAGCACCGACTCATTTTTTTCAAATTAAAATTACTTTTTCTCCTGAAAAATTCAAAATTGTTAAACAGATGACTTTTCAGAAAACGTATCTAAATCGAAATTCATACATGTAGCTTATGAGTTATTTACCTTTATATAGGTAATCTACTCAGAATAATAGTTCTATAATAAAATATGGAGTTCTGGTGGTAGTTATGGGGGTACGACAATTTGAACACTTAAGTAGTTAATATTAATCCATCAACATTTTGTAAAAATTGTCGTGAGTATAATAATTAATAAATGTATAATAAATGCCAACATCACATCTGTTTCATAATTCTGTAAAACCATTTTAAGGACTATTTTCGTTTGTTTTTACATTTTAATGGGTAATTTAGAAACTAATCGTTGGAATTCTGATTTAGATACTTCAACATTTTCAAATAAAAACATCAACATAACACAGGAGCGTACACATGGTATGCGTACAGTAAAAAGGTAGAAACAAAGAGTTTGTATCACCACAGAACACTCCTAAATTTAATAAGAAATCAAAATAGTTAAGGACATGGGCCCTTAAGTAAACTTAAAATTTCAAAAATCAGAATTTGAATAAAACAGCAGAACAACAGCGCATTATTACGTAAAAGTTAAGTAAAATAAAAATGCTCAGAATATATTTTATTATCGTACATAGGTACTTTCATATGACTGTATAACTGTATTTTTGTTGTTTCATAATTATTTTTAATGTAAACAACTAACATCTATGCCTGCATATT